AAACAAAATACCCACCATATTCCTCCTTAAGCCTCCTTTTATGCTCCATGGTCAAGTATACAGATTGATCATGGATAGGGTGGACAACCTGTACCAAAACAGTAGATAAGACATAATCCAAGGATACATACCTTACCTAATTATCTTAACAAAACTAAATATTTACCTGCGGTAACGGATTGCCATGAATATGTCTAAATTCCTTGAAGTGCTTCCTCACGTATTCCTCCAGTTTAGGTACATCCTGCCTCCTAAAAATATCCCAAAGAGCACCACCTTCAGGATCTCCAGAACTTTCTGAAATAATTTCTGGAGCCGAAATATTGATCTTCTCCTGTTTGGAACCTTCCTCTCGGTCTTCTTTACAAGTTCCGGAAGTTTCCGTAACTTTCTGTCGATCGACAATAGGTATTTCCAGATTGCTATCTCTCACGATTACATCGTCATTATTTTTTCCTGTGCAAAGATGTACCTGGTTGGAACCTTCCTCCCGGTCTTCTTTACCAATTCTGGAAGTTTCCGAAAAATTCTGTGGATCGAGAATAGGTATTTCCAGATTGTTATTTTTCTCGATCATATCATCATTATTTTTCCCTGTGCAAAGATGTACCTGGTTGGAACCATCCTCTCGGTCTTCTTTACCAGTTCCTGAAGTTTCCGAAAATTTCTGTTGATCGACAAAAGGTATTTCCAGATTGTTATTTCTCAAGATTACATCATCATTATTTTTTCCTGTGCAAAGATGGCCCATCTCAACACCCCTGTATTCCGACACCCAAGGTTCTACTATTTCTTTTTCGACTGGCATTTTACTTGGTGAATTTCCATTAGTATAGTCAGAAGTTGTTGGCTTATCGTTTTCACATGCCAACTTGGAGGCGTCCAAAGACTCATTTCTGTACAATTCTATTTCATCCTGTGCAGCATGCTTCTTCTGCAGTTCTTTTATAGTCGAAAGCTGTTCAGGTTTGAGAACAGGTTCCTCTACATGTGTTAAAACATTCACCTAAAGAAAAACATCACAGGTTGTCATTACAGCTGAAAACCTGGACTGCAAAGCAACAAGAGTTTTAATATCGCTCAATCAATCTAACTTACAAATAACATTAGGTAGCAAAATATCACAAATTTAAAACTTCATTTTTCATTTAACTAGCTTGTTAAGTGAACCTCTCTTCCTTTCAAAGCTTCTTAGTAGTTTCGCCCCATGCACTTGTACGTGTTACATTTTAGAATAAAATTTTAAATTTAAAAACAAATAAAGAAAAATAGGTTAGGAAAGTGAACATACTGCATCAGACATATCACAGTGTAATTTTGTCACGGAGTCCCCTCGTCCAAGTTCGGGAGAAAGTCCATAGGCAATATATGTCTTGGGCCCCATATCCGGCTTCAGAGACTCGTTTGGCAATTTGACAGCTAGATTAAGGTACCCATGACGTGGATGTGTGTAGTCTTTGAAAGGCAAGCAGCTGATGAATTCTGCACCATGACGTGGCAGCCTCTCCTCGAACAAGTTAGAAGGAGGCCAATCTTTCAACTTGAGAATCTGAGGCCATCCATAACTGTCAGATTGAACCTTCGAGTACCCACTGAAAAACTTGTGAATATTTATCTCGACCTGCTCGCCAATGAAAATGATAAAATGAGTTTTCCCGTTATTGGAATCAACATAAATGACATAAAGCACGCAAGTCTACGAGTTTAGGATAAAACTGAAGGGACAAAAGTGAAAACTATCAAAATAAAAGATGAATTATAATCAGTACATTATTTTGAAGAAAAAATTTAGAATGAAAAGTGAGGGGAAAGTCGAGGGGATAATGCCATTTCAATTAGAAATGGATTGCTAAGCTATAAATGAGCATTTACAGCTGACTTCCATCTACTTAATCTGCCCAATCAGATTTCCAGTTCTTCTACACCAGATATAGGCCACAAAATATTTTCAAAAAATATCACTCAGTACTGAACAAGGAACCAACAATAAATGCAGAATTGGTTTACACATGACGTTCATTATCTAATAACTTAACCTGCAGAATTGCAAGAAATATATACAGCTGCAGCAAATAATTAGCAAAAGAAAAACTCAATAGGCAGAGTGTTGAGAATAACACAAGAACCTATATAAAAGCCGTCAGCGCTACCAGTTTCGAGACAACAAGACACCTAAATTAATACATCGTTCAGCTATTTCTTTAAACAGACTACTCCGAACAAAAATTAAAATAAAAAACAATAAAATATGAGGGAGCTGACCTCACACCAGTCCAAGCAATTTAATGCGGTCACTTTGAGAAGAAGCTCGGTCTTATGGTTCCTGACCTGACGAAAAGCCCGCCACATAACCATAGGCTCCCAGCTCAAACCAAATGTAGTCTCGAGCACATTACTAACAACCACAGGCTCACCTCTCAACCAATGCCGTTGAAAATGCCTCAAATCATCACTTTCAAGGCTTTTAGCCTTGGGACAGTATAAGAAATTGTCCTCCGAGTCCTCCCGGAAGGCCGCTCTACGCAGTTCATGACCACCATTTGTGTTCTCGCTAGATAAATTTAAACACAACGAACACTTTTCAGAAATTTTAGGCAGTTTCTCTATATCTAACCTCACCAACTCTTCCGCTTTCACCAATAAGTTAGAGACAATATTATCCCCAAAAACACTGTTCAGTTCTAAAATCCCTTCACCACAGCCCCCCACAAATGGCGGTGGGCATGGGATAGTACCTGTTTCTGTAGGTTTCCATTCGGACTCTATTACAGCAAGATTATTAGCAACAGTCTCAACAATCTCAGGATGAGGTTCATTCTTGATTGGAAGAGAACCCTCATCAATCTCAGGATGAGGTTCATTCTTAATTGGAAGAGAACCCTCATCAATCTCAGGATGAGGTTCATTCTTGATTGGAAGAGAACCCTCATCCAGATCACCGTGCAAGTAACTTAGTGTACGAGGAAAAAATTGATTAATGATATCCTTTTCTCTGCCCTGCAGATGTCCATCCCGAAGCTCCCGGCAACAGATGAGGCACAAGTCGTACGAACACTTAGAGCAGCTTCGGTATAAATCAGCAATGGATGTTTTACAATTATCACTGCATAAGAAAATAAGAATACACTGAATAATGAGTCATTTGAATCCTGTGAGAAATTACTCGGATAACGGTGAAACTGGCTTAAGCCCGACTACAGAGCCTATCTATATAGGGACGCCCAACCTGTGAACCAAAGCGCATTCTAACTCCCTTTGGAATATTTTTTTTCTTTTTTTTTTCTTTTTTTTTTTGAAGATTTACCAGAATATTCGTTCGTTCAGCTCGCAGTCTGATTTTCGTGGCTTTACTTCTAAAATTGAGAGTCCTGCCAAACATCAAACACACTGTATAATCAAATAATTTGAAAGATAACCCAATACAAGAATAAGTAGTTCGAGCTGCCACTATGAGTTAAGCTGGAATATTTATAACAAAGCCCATCTATAAAGTAAACAACATATCGATTATGTTTTCCAAGAAATATGCTTCGTTTCATAACCACTTAATATTATTAACGGTATAATCTGCTAGAAATCAGTTTCAGGTCCTTACAGGATTCATCAATGTTCACGCTTTAGAATAATCCAATGAATCCAACTTGATTTTTCAGTCCTACCAAACAACCATTTTTATTATATATTTCATTGTCACCAACTCCTATTTTCTTCCCAGTCTGACAGATTCATTCTCTTCACCAATTTTATATTATTTTGTTCATTAGTCATTCCTAATGTATCTTGCAAAAATTCTTTCTCCACTTAATAGGTTTCCAATGAATATAAAAGATACAAATTATATATGCAACTTACAATTTGAACTTCTGGAAAAATATATCTATACCCATCTTTGTCAAAAGCCTCATATTTGTCAGTTAACAAATCTAAATAAATGAATGACACAGTGACTCGGGTGGAGATTAGGTTCCGTCCCAAGATATGTCCATTCAATATATATCAGTCTCGTCTAGGAAATACCTCGTATCTTAGCCTCCATTTCCATCTCAACTAGTTGTTCTGCATGAAATTGTTTTAAGAAGGGCAGAAGCAAACGCAGCATATATTTAGAGTATTGCATCTGTTCTTCATCATTGTATTCCAATTCCACACTCTTCAACTGTTGCATGAGCATGAACAATAGGTTCAAAAGAGAAGAACAGAAAAACGAAGAACAAGCTAAGCAGAGTACAATAAATATGCTAATAAAAAATGAAGAATAGATAAAACCAACCGAAATCGGCACTTCCAGCCGCAAGCAACTCTTGCAATTGCAGTTCTCACAACAAACGGGGCAAGCTTCAGCAAAAGCCTCCTCTGGAAGCTGAGGATACCTGTGAAAGGTCCTCCTCAGACAATGGCGATATACAAAATGTAATAATAGACATGAGACAAAACGTACGATGGTGTCCATGGTCATTTCTACATTAAGTATCGAGGTCTTAAAATAACCACAAAAGCTACAAAGAGATGATGATAATAGAAAGCACAACGATGAGTAGAGTACAAATACGAATCACGAAAATGAGTTTTGTCTAGTTCCACACGCCTACCCTTCCCTGATGATATTTGTGAAGGTGGTATATATAATAATCAACTATTAGTGACTCAGCTGTCCAACCAACCAGATGTACGATTGACTCGAAGGCAAATTTCATAAGGAAAAAAAATGCATCTAAATTTTCAGACTTCATAAAATAAACCCCCTCTCAAAAAAAGTCACATACCATCTATTCATGCAAGGCACACAATATCGTTTTCTCTTACACTTGGTGCAACGCACAACCCTTCCTTTATCATTCCTTTTGCACTGGTGGCAGGTGTTCCGCTCAATCCCCTACAAAATACACAACCGAAAGGTAATATGCACAAAACAATATGCGGTGTGAATAAGTAAATAATAAATGACAGGAAAACACGAAAAGAACTACAAAATGATTTACGTTTCCTTTCTGCTTTCCCCTAGACATGGTCTCCGCTACACTATCCAGTCCATCGACATTTGTTCCAGGGCAACATTTTCCTTCACTATTTCCGGTTTCTTCTTGGTTTGCCCCTCCTCCAACTCTCTCCTCCTGCCCATCTTTCAATGCTTTTCTCTTCCCACCTCTTCTTTTCTGACCTTTCAGTATTCTATTTTTAATTTCTTCCACATCCTCATGGACAACACCTTTATTTTCCACTCCCTTCCCTTCAAATTCTTTATGTGCGCCATCCTTCCGGGGTCTTCCTCTCTTCCTTTTCGGTCCCACCACTCCCCTATTTTTCACTACCTCCCCAACCTCAACCCCTATACCTGCATTTTCCCCTCCCTGGCCTTCAACCTTCTCTCCGGCTCCTTTTTTAAACGGTTTTCGGCCCCTCTTTCTTTTTCCGCCTTCCTCCACACCATCAATGCCAACATCAGCATTTTCGACTCCCTTCCCTTCTTTGAGAGATCCTTCCCCCTCTTTCTTCTGGCTTTCAACTCTCCCACTGTTTACACCCTGACAGCCAATAATTTCATTTTCCACCACATTCCCTTCAACTTCCTTCTCCTTCCCCTCACTCGACCCATTTTTTACTTCCCCCACACCCTCACCAGCATCAGCTTCAATTTTCAATTGCTCCTCGACTACACGTTTTGGCAGTCTCCCCCTCTGTTTTCTCGGCCCTTCCACTTTTCCACTATTCACTATAACTTCCACTCCCTTCCCTGCCACATATTTCTTTGGTCTCCCCCTCTTTTTCTTGGAGCCTTCAACTACCCCAGTTTTCACCTCACCACCAATATCCTCACTTTTTGGGCCTTCCACTTTTTCGATTTTAACTTCCTCAACCTCACATGAAGTTCCTTTACTGTCCACTCCCTTCCCTTCGAATCCCTTACTAGACACATTTTTCCGCGGCCTCCCCCTCTTTTTCTTTGGGTTTCCATTTATCCTTACCACCTCACCACCACTGCCAATAGCTTCATTTTCCACAACCTGCCCTTCAACACCCTCCCTTCTTTGTGGGGCTTCCACTTCCCCACTTTTCACTACATCCAAACCATCAACACCAATATCCTGACTTTCCTTCTTTCTCTTTCGACTCCTTCTCGGCCTCTCGTCATCTTCCGTGACATATATGCCCTTGGTCGTCTCATCTTCCCACACATACATACCCTGGCTCAGTTTCCCGATCTTCTCTTTCGCCAGCTGGCAGGATTTCCTCCTCGACTCCCTCTTTACTGAGGCACTCACTTCCCTCCCTTTAACTTTTCCGCCCGAATTCCCATTTCCTTCCTCTTTCACAATCTCTATGTCCTCGTGTTTAGCGTCTACTTTATCGTCCTTAACTTTCTCTTGCTCAGCTCCATAATCCGGAACTTCAAATCCACTCTCCACGTTTTCTTCAGCCCTTTTCTCGTCCATAGCGCACAAACCCTCATCTTCTTCCGCTGCAACATTCAAGTCCATGACTACTTTTCTACTCTTGTTTTCTTCTTCTTCTTTTTTTTTTTTTTNTTGATCTCCTTTTCACGTGGTTTAGCCTACACATAAACCCCCATTCTACTCGGGAAAGAAGATGGAAAAGTAAATAAATACATGAAAATCAATCTCCTAATATCTAACCCTCTTTTTTTCAAAGTATTTTCCTCTCGTTTCCAGGTTTCAAATTATATATCCTTTCCGTTCCCATAACTGACCTTTATCCGGCCAAGTTGTTGGACTTGCTCGAAATTAATAGCAGGACCAAACTCCATCTACTGAAATCTTATTTGACCATGATTTTCTACCTCTCTCCCCAGTTTCTTGGTCAAGTTAGATTTACCACGAAGGTCGACAAAACAAATGACGTTACGTGGTATTATTAAACAATAGGATATATGGAAGGCAACGAGTAGAGAGGAAATCAAAATATTTTCGATTTGATTTGGTAATCTTAATTTGTACTCGTAAAAATTAGCATTCAAATTTGAAAAAAATAGTGTTTAATATTCAAAATTTATTCTAATTCTGAACTCCAATATGTACGTATTCGATTCAAAATTATCGAGTATTTAATTGTTCATTTTTATATATATTTAATATATTTTATATTGATATAGCATTCAGAATAGATTATTTGATCGGCTTGAGTGGTTCGGGTACAGCCAGTTCAAGGGAGTTTTAGCTCGATTTCTATAATTTTAAAATGAAAAATGCTACATTGACAACCTAGTGTACAACTAGGTTGACNGTCAACCTAGTTGTACACTAAGTTGGTAATGTAGCATTTTCCTTTTAAAATATATGGTATTAACCTATGAAGATTTAGGAAACAAAAAGTAAGTTTGTTTATATAGGGTTGGTATCGGCTCGATTACTGAACCGATACCGAACTGATTTTTTTATACCCAAAAAACCAAAAAATAAAAAATAAAATAAAATAAACTGAAGAAGAGCCCCAAACCCAAAATTTTTTTATGTTTTTAATTTAATGAGTGAGGGGCCTAAGGGTATATTTTTGCTTTTTTATTCACATAGTAAAAAAAATGAGCCTAATGTAAATATATAATAAGTATCTATTAAATATTAACTAATAGTCTAATATTTATTTTCGAGTAATAACTTTAGGAATCCTATAAAGATTATGATTGTATTTTTAAATATTAAAGTAAAGTACTAAACAATCATTGCTATTACTAATTAGGTAAGGCTACTAATTTTTAAACACTAAACGAAAGTACTAAATAAGTTTTTCAATTATAGTATGTTTACGTTTAAGAGTAACATTTTTACGTTTGAGAGTAAGATTTGGGAGTAAGATTTTACGTTTGAAAGTAAGATTCTTGACTTGAGCGTTGCAGTGTCTATGCCAGGGCCCGCCCCCGCGTTGTTTTTCAGGTTGATCCGGCTGTGGTACATGTAACAACAAATTTTATAAAAAAATATAAAACTTTTGTACAACTTGAATATATTTTGATCAAACGATATGCGAGTACAATCTCTATTTATCTCCTCGGATTCTTCTTTTTTTGAATTTGGATTTGGATCTTCTTTGGGCTTGATCTTGAATTTCTCAAATATTAATTTGGGGGTTGAATGACTTATTCCCGCATTAAATGTTAGGACTTGATTTAATTGAAGACGACTTCTTGGAGGATTTGCTTCTTCGATCTTCCTAGAATGTGGATTTTGGCTTGAATAAAGTTGACTCGAGAGCTTGATAGCTTTTTCCCGGATCTAATGCTATATTGGTTGAACTTCTCGACGAACGTGTCTTGAATGTCGTTGGATCTTTAAAAACTTTTCAAATCTTCAAGAAGGTTCTTGAGAGTTATTGAATTTGAGATTTGATTTTTGAGGTGTTCTTTGATTTTTTAGGTACGATTTTGTGGCTTTGGGGAGAGCTCTATTTATAGGTGTAGGAGAGAGAATCTTGGAGAAGAATACTTCAATTTGATTAGTCCTTCATGATTTGAAATAACTCTTTCCTTATTTAAGATTTTTCGACTTATCATAAGATTTGATTTGATGGGCAAGAAATATTTACTTTATTAATTAAATATCTTATTTATCTTGGATTAATGTCAAAAAATAAATAAAGACATTAATTAATAAAGTATTAAAATTTCGATGTATACAAATGCCCCCTTGAGACTTGTTCACGGGCAAAATGTCTTGGTAGAGTCTCAAAGTTTTAGATTCGGTTGATACATGTAAATAGTTTAAACTCTTATATAGGAGGTCTTCGACTTGGGCTTGTAGATAGCTTAAACTCGTATCAAGGAGTCTTGATTTTATTTAATTTTTGTATAGTTTATATTCGTATCAAAGAGTTCTTCATATGACTTAATATGTAGATAGTTTATACTCGTATCAAGGAGTTCTTCATATGACTTGATATGTAGATAGTTTATACTCGTATCAAGGAGTTCTTCATTTGGCTTGATTTGTAGACAATTTATACTCGTATCAAGGAGTTCTTGTTTTGATTTGATTTGTAGATAGTTTATACTCGTATCAAGGAGTTCTTCATTTGATTTGATTTGTAGATAGTTTATACTCGTATCAAGGAGTTCTTCATATGACTTGATATGTAGATAGTTTATACTCATAAAAGGAGTTCTCCATTTAATTTGATTTATAGATAGTTTATACTCGTATCAAGGAGTGTTTATTTGATTTGACAGATAGTTTATACTCGTATCAAGGAGTCCTCAAATTTGTAGACATTTTATACTCATGTCAAGGAGCCTTCAAATTTGTAGACATTTTCTGCTCGTGTCAAGGAGCCTTCGATATTTGACTTGTAGACCTTTTATTCTCGTGTCAAGGAGTCTTGATTTTGTAGATAGTTTAAGCTCATATCAAGGAGCTTTGTAGATAGTTTAAGCTCGTATCAAGGAACATTTGAATTTGTAGATAGTTTACTCTTGTCAATGAGCATTGGAATATGTAGATAGTTTAGGCTCATATCAATAAACATTTGAATATATAAATAGTTTAATCTCATATCAAGGAGCATTTGAATTAGAGGATTTGATGGAGCTCTTCATGTAAATTGCCCCTATGGAATTTGAGAAGTATATGGAAGACCACTTTTGTTTTCTTCATTCGAATGTTTGATGAACACAACGATTTTCGACGGATTCATGGCTTAGGAAGACATTATCCTTCTTGCCCCCGTGTACATTTTCTTCACAGAGGTCTTCATGCATCTTCAAAGATCTTGAAACTTGATTTGGAGAGAAGAGATGAGAGGTAGAGAAAGTCCCACTGGACATGCCAGATTTGTTTACAACAAATTTTATGAGTAACATAAAACTTTTGTACAACTTGAATATATTTCGATCAAACGATATACGAGTACAATCTCTATTTATCTCCTCTGATTCTTCTCTTTTTGAATTTGGATTTGGATCTTCTTTGGGCATGATCTTGAATTTCTCTAACATTAATTTGGGGGTCGAATGACTTATTCCCACATTAAATGTTAGGACTTGATTTGATTGAAGACGACTTCTTGGAGGACTTGCTTCTTCGATTTTCCTAGAATGTGGATTTTGGCTTGAATAACATTGACTAGCGAGCTTGATAGCTTTTTTTTCGGATCAAACGCTATGTTGGTTGAACTTCTCGATGAACGTGGCTTGAATGTCGTTGGATCTTCAAGAACTTTTCAAATCTTCAAGAGGATTCATGAGAGCTCTTGAATTTGAGATGTGATTTTTGAGGTGTTTTTTGATTTTTGAGATATGATTTTGTAGCTGTGAGGAGAGCCCTATTTATAGGTGTAGGAGAGAGTCTTGGAGAAGAAGACTTCAATTTAATTGGTTCTTTATGATTTGAAATAATCTCTTTCTTTATTTTAAGATTTTTCTCTTTATCATAAGATTTGACTTAATGAGCAAGAAATATTTACTTTATTAATTAAATATCTTATTTATTTTGGATTAATGTCTAAAAAAAATAAAGATATTAATTAATAAAATATTAAAATTTCGATGTCTGCAGTATACAAGTAAGATTTTTACATTTGAGAGTAAGATTTCTTACTTGAGCGTCCAATGTCTATGCCAGGGCCCGCCCTCGTGTTGTTTATCAGGTTGATCTGGCTGGGGTATGCGAGTAAGATTTTTACATTTGAGAGTAAGATTTCTGACTTGAGCGTCCCAGTGTCTACGCCAGGGCCCGCCCCCGCGTTGTTTTTCACGTTGATCCAGCCATGGGATGAGGCGATCGAGACGAGGCAGATCAACCGAAAATCTTGGCGAGTCGATATTCCGAGCACATCAAATTGGCGTCGTCTATGGAAAATATCCCAAATACCAACAAAATAAAAAGCAAAAGAATAAAAAGGGGCATCACGTGGCATTTCGCCTGGGAGCCCGGCCACCAAACTCCAGCCACCCGGTGTCTGTGGTGTTGCAGCTGAAGCTGAAGGTCGTGCCTACCGTCCAGCCTTGGGACTATGGTACCCTCGACCTGTACGCGTACAAGTAGCCTTAGGTGTAGACCCCCGTGCAGCTCCACAAATGGTAGCAGCAACAGCAGAACAAGGCATTTGCAGGAATAAAATAAGAAAAAGAAAAAAAAATTGAGACGCAATTTGCAGCAGGAAAATAGATGAGGTCACATCGCTCTGCAGTGATTTGTGCGCATCCCTCGAGCACCTCGAGGTTCGATCTCCGTGTTGCTATCGGATCATCGTCCATTGCACACGAGCATAGCTCGTCGGTTGACGCCTCCCACAAGAGGATGTTTGTCGTTGCTAGATTTGGTGCGGGGCGTGAAAAGGATGGCCACTCTCTCACAATTTTTTTGATTTGGGAATATTGCAAAACGTGGACTTTAATATGCAGTTGTGGGTCACGTGGAGAGATCTCCAAAACTATTTGGGTCATGTTGAGAGGCTTTATAATGGGCCATTAAGTTAAATGAGTTGTTGTGGTATTCTTGGCTCAATGCAGGCATTAATTGAGTAGTTCCAGCCCGAGAGGCATAAGCCTAATACGTTAATTAGCCCATGATCATATATGTGGGCAGGTAATTGGCCAAAGAAAAAAAAAACAAAAAAATTAGTGCTAGCAGCCTACAGGTTAAAAAAAATGTGGCAGCATATTTCTGATTTCAGGCGAGCATGGTGATGCGGGTTTAAAAAAAATGGGGAAGCGTTTTCAGTTTTCAAAGGAGCATGGACATGAACGAGCGGGATCATTTGGAGTTGCGGCGATTCAGGCGAACACACACAGCAATTTCTCACAATCGCTCTCGGATGAATTGTCCTTTACCGTAGTCAGGCCTCGTGGTTCGGAGTCGGTGCGCCAGAACACTGTGGAATGCGCTGCCATGCACGAGTCGCATACCTCTGTTGTAATAATTTTTACCGGAGTAGAATCAAAAGATTCGACACTAGGTCGTGTCTCTCGAGGAAGGTCAGCTGGATTATTTGTACG